ATCAGCACGTGGTAAAAAGAAAGAGAGATAGATATCTAAAATCCAAAAACAAATAAAAGTAACAAAACTGAAAGCAGCATCAAACTTCAGTCGTGTAACAGATTAAAAAAAGTCATCAACTCTCTCATGAATAGAAATAAGAAAATTAAGTTGAAAATTTGTGTGCAATACTTGTTTTAACTTTTAATACGTCACGTAGAAACTAAACCTTAACATTTAATAACAAAAAGTATAGAAAAGAAAGAATAAATAATAATATCTCATAATGATTATGACTTGTCTCTTCGTTGGCTTGTTGTGAATTTATATATTGAATGATTTATTTTTATGTTCTAATATCTTAAGTAGTCTAGTGTTCTTTACATGTTGGGAGAGGGATTACAGCTTTGAATCACCAAAATGATGAAATTTTTATAAAGGGTTTGTAGAAAATAAAAAGTTGAAAATCAAAATGATAGTATAAAGTGATATTAGATTGAAATTATAACAACTTAAAATCACTCGAAGCTAGAATAAATATAAGTTTAAGGCACGTGAAAGTGAGACGAATATAGAGTTAGAGATGGGAACTGATTGACTCGATCAGTTGAATAGAGTAATAGACAAACAAAAAATTTTAGTGGGAGTAGAATTTATATAGAGTTGTAATCATTTTAAAAGTTGAAAAATTTGTTAAATTTGTAAAAAGTATGTTAGATATAAAAAGAGTTATTAATATTTAGAAAATTTATTAAAATCTTTTATTATAATAATTTTAAGAATCTAAGATATATATAGTATTTTGAAAGTTTTATTTAATAAGTTAAATTGTTAACAATCTTTGTCCCAATAACAAAGATTTTAATAGATTGACAGAATCATTAAAAGCCAAATTTTTTGAATAACAATGAATTTTATATAGAATTTAAAAATTTTTATACCAATAATAATGAATTTTAGTAAGAATATTCAAATCCATATATCAATAACAATGGAATCTCAAAATTTTAATAATCATTACAAATCCCTCAACCAATAATTCCTCCTTATCAAATGGATATGTGCCTTCACAAAAGAAGAGTGCTTTGCGCTAAACTTAAAAAATGAAAGAACTTGTTTTCGAAAAAAAAACTTTATGCTTATTAGAGTATATGATCTAGTGCATTTACAATGAAAAATGAACTGAGCTTAAATAGGCTCGAAAATGAAGCTATCCAGACGTTCTAAAAGCTTAAATAAAGAAGAAGAAAAATATATCAAACTTAATGCATATAACCATGGGAGGCTTTATGACACAACCGGCCAAATAGGAAAAGTTGATGGTGCTCAAGTCTTGAAAACTTGGGGTCAATGGTACACTCTAGATGATGTAAAACACCTCCAAAAATGCAGCATCATTGATGGAAAGAGAGTTGTTGGAGTTTAAAGACCAAAAAACTCCAAACAAGACATTGTCTTGAGATAAGTTCGGCTCCAAAGTTAAGATGTGGAAGGATCCGCCTAATCCTCTGCTTGCTGGTGCAGCTGGGGACGCGTAGAGAGGTCTCTAACTGTAGTGTAAACTCTCCTGGACAGCTGGACGCCAAGAATGAGTTTCAAATGAGGTAAGTATTTCTGTATTTGATCTGACAGGCTGATTGGTGGTTCACGAACAGGTTCGATCTAGTTTGTGGGTGGGACAACTTCCACATTGCTTTAAATTGGTTAAGACTATGGACGAAGTCGGTTCATAGAATGGGCATAGGCCTAAATCGGAGATATTTGGGTTCACCTAATTTGAAAACTTAAATTTTATTCATCTAAATTTATATTGAGCTGATTCTGTTAAGTTATATAGACTTCTAACTTAAAACTAATTGACAATAAATGGATTAACATATGTTCTTTATATATATATCACTTAATATCCCTTCTAACTTGCGATGTGGAATATATTTCATAAAACGCTCCTTCAAGATGATGGCTATTTTGACCATTGATCTTGGTAATGTTTGAGCAAGGATCGACATACAATCTTTGGGTCACATATCGATTATAGATCGGGTTGGATTGCGTGGATCAGGCTCTGATACTATGTTAAGTTATATAAACTTACAACCCAAAACCAATTGGCAATGAGTGGAGTGGCCCATATTTATATATATATATTAGTTAAGATCCTTTCCAACTTCCAATGTGCGATATATTCCCTAATATGCTCCTTGAGATATGGTTACTTTGGCCATTGATCTCTGTAATATTTGGGCAATGATCGACAAACCATCTTTGGGCATATATTAATTATATATCAGGTTGAATTGCGTGAATTAGGCTCTGTTACCATGATTAAAAGATAGAAATATAAACACAAAATGTTTGACTGGTATGTCAACTTAATAGCAGAATAGCTGAATAACTGAATAATAAAGTACCAGAATGATAGCTTGCTATTTTATATTATTTTAGGCTGCATTTCATGCATCTTTTCCTCTGTTTTGCATTATAGTTTAACATTTTAGTATCATTTGCACTTAGAAACAACATGACATGCATTTAGCTTAGGATTGCATATATTTGCATACATGTGCATGTTTGTGGTGGTTTTCAGGTGTTTTTAGAGTTTCTTGGAGTTGGGAAGGAGATGGAAGCAACTCATGATCAAAGAAGACATCAGAAATGGAGCTCTTGCAAAGTCTGGTCCATATCGAGCAAACATATCGAGCAGAACATCCGTGGAGTATGCTCGATGTAAGCAGCAGGACGAGAGGAAGAGGATCAGCACGAGGAGTCTAAGCTGTTGGTCTGCATCGAGGACCAGCATCGAGGAAGGAAGCCAATGCGTGCTGTATGAACCATATCGAGGTCGCATATCGAGCAGAACATCGTCCGTACGACCTCGATGCAAGTCTTCCGCGCATTGACCACTTTAGTCTTTGACCTCATCCTATTTTTAGGTTTTTATGCTTCTTTTGGCTCTCTACTATAAAAAAAAAGGCACAAAACATTATCTTTATCCAAGTTTAGTTTTTTTATCAAAAACTCTCTCTTCTCAAAACCTTAGAGGTCGATTTGCCTTAAGGATCTTAATCTCTAATAAAGTTTGCATTTTTATGGTTTAATCTTGTCTTTTAATCTTTGTTCTTGCACCCTGGTAGTTTAGATTTATCATCTTTGCATTTTAATTTCATATAGTTATGTTTAACTCCAAACAAATGGGATTAAACATGATTAATGAGTAGTCTTCTTTAGATTTAGGGTTCTAAGTAAGGAAAGTTGTGATTAAGATGTGATTAAGGGGTGATTAGGCTTATTTAACTATTCTCTGTTGTCTCCTTCTCTTGCAAAGTGGTTATTGCTCATAAAGCTTGCTCCTTTTGATTGAATATGGTATTGATTAATGCATATGGTTCACTAAATGGCTTATAATCTCTTTTCTAAGCATGGTTCGCTTATTTGGCTTGATAGTTTGGCTTGGTCTATGTTTCCTTTGTTCAGTGACACCAAAGTGATAGTTCACCATTGCTAGATGATTCGCTTAGGGCTAGATAGTGCTGGTTTTGAGATTCTTGCTTGATGGTTAGATAGTATGCATTAAAAGATCTTCTTGTTTCATTTCTGCTCATTCCTGAGCTTTGTTAGGATGTTGCAACTGTGTGCTTAAATCCACATTCTTGATTGGTGTTTAGCTAACTAGGTCCTTATTGGTTCACAAGATTGATAAGTTGATCTGAATTCTTGCTTGGTGAGAGAATGATTGCTTGATTAGTACATCTCTTAGGCTAGAATGGGTTCTGACCTTTATGCTCCTGGTTGAAGGATACGCCATCACAAATGAGTCTGACACTTCAATCTTGTTGAATATGAACTGCTTATTGACGCCAAGTTGGTTCCTTTTAGATACCTTGTATAGGAGTACAACATTGAGAATTGCTTCTTTTTGAATGCTTGATGTTTGCCTTTGTTAGAAATCCTCACTTTCACTCTTGAAAGCCAATATCCCACCATTTCTTAGAACCTTGAGTCTTGCTTTTAATTAATAGTCTTTAAGATCATCTTGCTTAGTTCTTGCTTTAGTAGTCATCTTGCTTAATTCTTGCTTTAGTTATTGCCTGAAGTTCATTGCTTAGTTTTGTTCACTTGCATTTAGTTTATGCTTTCTTTCCATTGCATTGTTAGGTTGTTAGATTCATCCTTCTTCAATCAAAACCCCATCATTGCTTAGCTTATGGCATTGTTTGCATCTCATCTTCCACAAATGAATTGATACCTGATCCCTATTCTACAACTGATTAGAGGCTAAGGACATTTGATCCAGTGATACAAAAGTCGTGTTTCACAGAATCAATAGGATGGGTAAACTGAAAACTGTATAAAGTCAAAACGCTAAAAAGCTAGTATCTATTAAATGAATGAATTTTTCTCTAAATTAGTTATAAAATTAAAACATGTAGGATAATTTAGAAAATAGCGTGTTGATTTTCACTTTTTATCATTAAGTGCTTAGTATTATGAATGATTCTATTAGAATCACGTATTTAAAACGTGAAAACATGAACAAGTTACATACCATTCAACCCTAAAAATGTTTAAGAAGAATTTTTATTAGAATAATGTTACAAGATGCAAAATTTATATAGAAATGAAAACAGCTTAATTCCCTAATCTAAAATGTAAATAAGGTAAAATTTACAATCTAAAAGATTGGCAAATATTCATAATATTGTAAATCTTTCCTGATTTCCATAAATATGATCGATTTCATCGATCTTTCAACAATCCCACTTCAAAGCGTTCTCTAATTAAGCTAAGAATGTATTTCAAGTGGTCGTAGAGCTGCACCAGTTGATCCAGTGATTTCATTTAGGTTGAATAAGCGTCAAGGGTGTTGTTCTTTGAGCATGCTCAGCCTTCTTGTTAACATTAGTTATTATTGTATAAAATTATCATTGTGGTTAAATATTAATGATCTGTGTTATCATATAACATATTAGTTATCAACTTATTGTATATGTAACCACCTCCCTATCGAGAACCACATCAAATGACTAGCCAGATATTTAAAATTTAGAAATTTTTGTTACAATGTCACAAGTATTTGCTGACACCCTTAAGTACATGGTTCATAGTTTTGTTCTATAGAGTGCTGACACCCCTAAGTACATTGTTCATAGTTTTGTTCTATAGAGTGCAGGTTCATCTTTGTATCTTGCTGGACTAAAGATACGACGGTCTTGGACTCTTGGGGTATTTAGAATATAAAGTAAAGATTGATTATTCAAGGAAGGAGCAGTGAAAGCATTGCATTGGCTCTGACCTCGGATACATTCACATGAAGCAACAAAGAGGTCAAAAACAATGATTTATAAGAAAGTAAAAAAAAAAAAAAAAAAGGGTCTTTTAGATTATGGTTCCACTAGGAATCAGAGCATCCTTAATCACTGTAACAATACCGCTCTTGATGAAGTATCCATCCGTCTCCCTCGCAGCTTCTTGCACATTGTCCGTGTTAATGATCTGAATCCAACGCAGATAGAAAAGGATGTTAAAAGAGGAAACAGAGTAATAATAACACAGAGTACTACTAAAGTGGAAAATAACCTTGACGTTGTCCCCAATACGAGCATTCTTGTCAATGATAGCTCTTTTGATGTGAGAGTCTCGGCCAATACCAATGGGAATGCTGCCTTTTGCAGCCAGGAGTGTCCTATCAGCATCGGTCTGAACCGGGTCGAAAACCAGATTAATGTCCTGGTTTAATGATCATGAAGTGAACTGACTTTGAAAACTGTAACATACCTCGTAGTAGTCTGCACCCATCAACAAGGTGTCTTCTATGATTGCGCCTTCCGATATGCAAGATCGAAGACCGATCACGGAATGGTGGATCTTGCAGTTCTAGGAGATTATTAAAAAACAGTTTTAGTCTAAAGCCTCTATTTCCAAATCTGAAAGGGTAATGCTCATTTGAATTACCTTGATGACACAACCTTCACCGATGACACTATCAGTAACATCAGCATCAAGCATCTTTGATGGAGGTAAGTAACGAGGCTGTGTGTAGATTGGTGCTGAACGGTCATAGAAACTGCAAGAACATGAAGAAGCTTGGTAAAGTTTCTCATCTCCTCTCGAAAACCGCAGTTTATACAGACGAAAACGATCAATGCTTACCTGAAATCCGGTACTGGTTTCTTGGTGATTCCAAGATTCGCGTTGTAGAACGCCTCGATGGTACCAATATCTTCCCAATACCCATCGTACAGATAAGCTTGCACCTGAGAATGATTGAGTCAAATCTTGAAGCACTAAGCCATTCAAAACCAAGAGAGCGAAAAGCTAGTTGATAACACTTACTCTTAATCCAAGAGCGGTGGCTCCGGGAATAACTTCACTCCCGAAGTCATTAGCTCCGGGAAACTGCTCCCGGAGCAAATCCAACATCACATTCTTGCTAACAACATATATTCCCATACTAGCAATAAAAGGCAACTCTTTGGCTCTTTCGTCATCAAGGCCTAAGATTGTTGTATCAACCTAATCATCAAAATCAAGAAACAAAAACTGTCATTGACCATAATGTCATTGAACATAAATAATAATAAAGACTTTACCTTCATAGCCTTAAGTTGCTCCCCTTTTGGCTTCTCTGCAAACTCGATGATCCGTCCTTCGTCATCGATCTTCATCAGCCCGAAAGCCGTAGCTCGTTTCTCATCCATAGGAAGAGCAGCGACGGTGATATCAGCGTCGGTTTCACGGTGAGCTTGTATGAATTTCTCGTAATCCATACGGTACAAATGATCACCTGCAAGAACCAAGAACTCCAACACATTGTGCTCTTCGAACAACCACAAGTACTGCCTCACTGCATCAGCAGTTCCCTAACAAAAACCAAACTCAAAAATCAAAAAACAAACCACTCAAATCTCTTAAATCAATCAAGAAACTTCCAATACCTGAAACCAATTTGGATTCTCTGGGCTTTGCTGAGCAGCAAGAACCTCGACGAATCCTTCGTTCTTGTAACCACCCATGTTGTTCGCGTAAGCTCGCGAGAGATGTCGATTCAGAGAAGCTGAGTTGAACTGAGTAAGCACATAGATCTTGGAGATGTTACTGTTCAAGCAATTGCTCACTGGAATATCAATCAGACGATAGTTCGCGCCGAGAGGAACAGCTGGTTTCGCTCTCTTCTTCGTTAAAGGGTATAATCTTGTTCCAGCACCACCTCCAAGAATTATCCCCAACACACTCTGCCATTAACAAGAATCATCAAATCCGGATCTTCCACGAATATTCGAAATCAAGAAACACTCACCCTGCTAGCGTCAGGATCAAGACAAGTTTGTGAGTTCTGTGAATCTGAAACTGCTTTTGGGGACACAATCGATGGTGTTCTTCTCTTATTTGAGCCATTGGAGATGATCTCCGGCGTGGGATTAACTTTCTCGCCTGTGAGAGATGAAGACGAGAACGAGAGACTTTTCCTAAGAGACGATGCTCTACGTGTGAGATTCGAGGAAGAGGATGAGGAAGAAGAAGAAGATGAAGGAACTTTTAATGCTCCTATTGCTGCCATTGTCGCCATTGTTGTCGAGAGGCTTCACTCTTCTTCTTCTGTCACTATAATGGAGAAGATCTTTTTTATTTAGGGCATAAATCTTATTGTTAGTACATTGACCTTTACACCCCTAAGGTAGGGAGATATTTACGGGTAAGGATGACGTGGTATGGTCGTAAATTTGAGGAATAATAGAGGTATACTCGTCCAAAGAGTTCATAATCATATGTTTTTGTGATATGTTTTGGCGGTGAAAATATCTTAGCAATTAATATAAAAGTTTGGTGATGGGTGGGATGTGAGCGGATGTAAAATGAACGGTCTATTTACTGCTGCTGTCTTTTCTTTTTTTTTTTCTTTTTGTCTATAACAGTTCTGACTGAATATCACGCACGAGGATTCTGGACCGTACACTGTTTTTCTTAAAAATACTATTGCAAATTAAACTCAAAGTTATTTTGTGTGTGCTGAAGTTTCGGACGTTTCAATTTTGGGTGAGTTGGGTGTACAACGTAAGCCGTCCCTTAAGTGTAATAAAAAAGACATTTGTCTACATTCGCAGGATATATAAATTTTAAGCAAGCCAAATATTTAAAAATACTATATGTTAAACTGACTTTAGTGATTTAGATTTAGTTATATAAGCCCAAGCTCGATTCCATATTAGGACATTTTTTTATTTTAATTATAGTTTTTAGAAGAAAAAAAATTTAAATTCGAAATTGGGAAATTTTTTTTGGTTATTGTACTTTAATAGATTTAAGAATCTAAAACCAATTTCAGTGTTATTAATTTTTATATTTTAACATCTATATTAAAATACAGTATTATTGGTTTTATGATTTTAAAATTTTTAATGAAATACAGTTTTATTGGTTCTATAATTCTAAAATCTAAATATTATAAGGATTTTAGTTTTAATTTAATGGATTTGAAAACATTTTCATGACTAAAATACAAAAACCCAAATACAAGGTTTAACCTTGATATTTGACTGAATTTGATTTGTTTCCATTTTTGCTGATTTTAAAATTAATAGATTTATCAAATCTAAAGAAGATTTCTAAATTCATTAAAATATAAAAACTATTAACCCCTACTTAAATAAATTTCTTCTTTTATTTTAAGAAAATATTCAACGATGTCAAAAAAAAATTCAACGATGTCAAAAAAAAATTCTACTATTTAGAAGATGACAAGTGTATTAAGAGTTTCTAAAAGTATTTAATTTTTCATTTGAGAATCGTTTTTAATTTCTTATATTTTTATTAATTTTTTTGATTATTCAATTACTTAAAAACCCTTATAAGATTTATCAATATAATTCACTAGATATTATTTGAGAAGTAACATTATTGAAAAGAGCTGATTTGTCAACACTACAACCATAGTTAGTGCTTTTAATTGATGACATGTAAATGTGACATGTCAAATTTCCATAAATAAATGAAATGTTTTGATTGGTTGAATTAAAATTATAGAAATTGTGGAATTATAAATACACTAGATTATATTTATAACACAAAATTAAATAGTTTTAGTTAACAGAAAATAATAATTATTATAATTTCAATTTTTACAAATATACATAATTTCATAAAATATAATTAAAATTTTTTTAACAATATATATATGTTATAATTTCATATAAAAACGTAAAAAAACTAAATTATCCAATAGAATAGTAAAAATTCTATATATTAATAATACTTGAAGTATGATATACTTTTATTTTGGAAAGTTATTAATTTACACAATATAGTAATAACATCTAAACAAGTTTTAAATAAACAAATTAAATAATACAGTTTTAAATAAAATACAGTCATGATAAAAACAATTTAAAGAATAAAATGTTAAAAATAATATAAAATAATTAAATTTTATTAGAATTTTTTAAAAACGTAATTTAAAATAATTTTTCTTTTCAAACCAATATTTACTAATGAATAAAGTATATATTAATTATCATTTTATAATATTAATAGGACCATATATTTTTCTATAACGTTTATCATCTTTTTATTATTGTTTTCTAAAATGTACATAACTTATGTTACTATCTCATCTTATCATATTTTAAATAAAAATAAAATTTTATATCATATTCATATATATATATACATAAATTTATTTTTATTATATATCTAAAATTTGAGATCATTAATAAAATAAAAAATAACTGAACGAAAGAATAAATTAAAATAAGATGAAACAAATATGAATAAGAAATACAAATAGAAGTGTAAAAAAATAAATTTCTAGCACTTTGTTTTACAAAGTCACCTAAATTTTTTTTAACACATAAAAGCCATATTTCGACTTTTTCATAAATATGCTTACATACATAAATATTAATTGTGTATTAGTTGATGTCACATGCGAACTTTTCATGCATGTATTTTGTTAAGCTTGATTACAGTTTAATTTTTATTTTAACTATTATACAATTTATATTCTTAAAAAAATCTTTATCTATTTTTAGTGTAGTGAAATGGTTGGTATGCCAGCACATGCGTGCCAACCATCTATCCGCTTTTATGAATAAGAAAAAATGGTAAAAACTATTTCATTTTAATTAGCAATAAATCAAGAAAAAATATATATTTAAAATATATTATATATGTATTTGAAAATTCATATTATGAAAAACGCAAAAAACATATTATCGACTGTGTAAGGAAAAATAAAGCATACTATAGAAATATTCAAAAAATATTATAAGAATTTAATTATTATTTAATATAACTTTTATATTTGTGATTGTATATTCTTACAAGCATTATGAAAATAAAAAGTTTTAAATTACATTGGTTTCAGAAGGAGATTTGTGAAATATTAAAATAATATATATATATATATATATATATATACATAAACGTATCAATGTTTGGAAAAACTAATCAACACATAAATATTACAATTAACTATGTATATCAAAAAACTTATATCCGCACATATGTGCGGGCCAACCACCTAGTTGTTCTTAAATTAATCTTAATCTCCTATGTGAAAAGAGAATTCTAGAATTTTGTTCGATAATGTCTTGATGAAGCACAAGGATGCATGATGTAGGATTGAAAATGCTTCAAGCTCTACTTCTTTGAAATCGTTGCCTTGTAGCTTAAGTTGATGAAAGAATGGTTTGTTGATTGTTAAACCAGTTTGTACTTGAACTTCAAACACCAAGAGTTTAGTTTCTAATGTTCAAAGGCTAATCGCGAAGTTTCTACACGTTTCTTCAAGCTTTGATTCCACACAAGAAGATCACAGGAACAAGTTTAAGTGATAAAGACTTTCTTTGTAAACAAAAACAAAAGTTTGATTAATAATTTCTTGAATATTCTAGTTGTGAAAATACAAAATGAAAGAGCTTATATAATACTCAGAATAACATGAATCAAACGGTAATATGAATTAAAAACAAAGAAAAGATCAAGCTGAATGATGGAAAGGTCTTCTACTAGCTGTTAGGCTTCAATGGGCATATCCTTGACTTTGGCGATGAATGAGGAAGTTGTGATGGTTCTTTGGCACGAAATGAATGTGAGGGATCTTCTAATGATGATGAATGGTTGAGATTGAGTGATAAAGATGGTAGTTGGTCTTCAGTCTTGATTAGATATGAGTGATGATCTTCAAATAAGGAAAGCTTCTCCTTAATGTAATCTCTTTTGGCTTCTGATAAAATGGAGCGAGTGTTGGCTTGTTCTGGTGTGGTAAGGCTTGTATATGCTTCTGTGGACGTGGGGAGGGGCGAATATAATGTCCCAGCATGACATATATTCGAATTTCCTTGATATGAATGTATTGATGCTCCAATGACTCCAATTATAGAAAGGATTCGGCGGTTTGGCAAGATTGAGCTTGGTTATTGGCTTGGTCAGGTGTTTTAGGAATCTTGGTAAACTATGAAATGTCTCTTGGTGGTCGAATGAAGTGGCTGGTCGAATAAAATGTCATGTAATCTCTTCTTTCCTTAGATAGCTCTAATGTGGCTCCATTTGGTGGTTTGATGATTCTCCTTTTGTTTGATTTGAATAGCTCCAGTTCTTAACTTGTAAATTGGCTTGAATATCTTCTAAATACTCCAAAGAATAAGGTAAGGTCGTGGTTTCATTATATAGCTCATCATATGTGCATATAGGTCCAATTGAAGGCCTTGGCGGTTTAGACTGAATGTCTTGCTCCTTGTGTTGAACCGGCTCGCCTTTGGATTGAATAAACTGGTCCTCTTGATAGCTGGAACAGTGGTGTTTAGGGATTAAGTCCTCATCAGCTTCAAGTGCAGCTACAAGTCCTCCTTTTCCCTCAGCTACAAGCTTGGCTCCTTCTGATTTAGCTTCAATGCTCCTTCACTTGACTGATACAATTGTGTAGGGTTTGATGCTTACATCAGTGCAGAAATCCTCAATAAGATAAAGTGAATCTGTAAACGATTATTTTAGTCGAGTAATGGTGATTATAAATAATATGTAAAACTTCGGAGAAGATATGGCTGATGTCAAGATTGTTGAAAAAATCTTAAGAACTCTCATAATAAATAAAAGTACATAGTTTATTCCATTGAAGAATTAAGGAGTCTTGATGAGCTCTCAGTTAATGCTCTGAAAAGCTCGCTTCAAGTACATGAACAGAAGTTCAAAAAGGAAGGAGGTGAGGAACAAGCACTTGCAATATCAACAGATGAATACTATGGGGGGAAGAGGAAGATTGATAGCTGGCTATTTTAGATCATTTTAGGTTGCATTTCATGAATCTTTTGCTCAGTTTTTGCATTATAATTTAGCATTTTAGTATCATTTGCACTTAGAATCAATATGGCATGCATTTAGCTTAGGATTGCATATATTTGTATACATGTGCAAGTTTGTGATGGTTTTCAGGTGTTTTTGGAGTCTCTTGGAGCTAGGGAGGAGATGGGAGCAGCTCATGATCAAAGAAGATGTCAGAAATGGAGTTCTTGCAAAGTCTGGTCTATATCGAGCAGAACACCCGTGGAGTATGCTCGATGCAAGCAGCAGGACGAGAGGAAAATGATCAGCACGAGGATTCCAAGCCGTTGGTATGCATCGAGGACCAGCATCGAGGAAGGACGTCGATATGCGCTGCACGGACCATATCGAGGTCGCATATCGAGCAGAACATCGATCGTACGACCTCGA